AAATCACAAAAAATCACTTTCAAAAATACTTTATAAATCGGAGCCATACCCAGCAGGGATGTGCGTCATGGCGTTTTGGCGTGACGTTTTGGCGTGATTTTTGGCCGATTTTGGCGTGCTGGCGTTTGGCGTGATTTTCAGTTTTTGGCGCGCCAAAACGCCAAAATTATACACCCCTAATGATGGGAATTTTCCAAATAAATGGGGGAAGTTTTTCAAAAAATGAAATTTTTTTGCCCACAGCCTTCCAAAATTTTCAAAATTTGCGCCTGCGGCGCACAAAAAAGACAATTCTGGGTTTGATTTACAATTCTGGGTTTGATTTTTCCATTTTTCTTGCAATTTTTTAGAAAAAGTAGGATTTCTGCTCTTGTTCTTAACAAATTTCCATAATTTTGGGTGTAGGCGCTAAAAAAAGGATGAATTTTGGCTTCTGGAAGTCGTGAAAATTCAAAAATTTTCGCCTGCGGCGCTAAAAAGAGATAAACACTTGTTTTTCGGCCCTTAGTTTAATAAAATTTTTGGCGTTTTGGCGTTTGGCGTTTTGGCGTCGTTTTTTGCCGATTTTGGCGTTCTGGCGTTTGGCGTGATTTGAAAATTTGAAAAATTGGCGTTTGGCGCGCCACGCGAAAATTCTGGCGCACATCCCTGATACCCAGCATTAGTGTCTGGGTACATTTGGGTAACACTGTAATAGTTGTTCAACCTAATAGCCGTTTCTTCCAAATACCTATAGTAATAATAATATTTGCCAGTATTTTAGTTGTACAGTGATTTGTCCCCCTCCCTCTCACTTACTTTCACAAGCATTATTAAAAGTTGTTAGCCAAATTGAACCAACTATAAAATCCTTAGTTAAATCAACCTCCTTAAATGCCATTTTAGCCATCAATGATGGATCATATTCTTTTGAATCTATAAAGGGGCCCGGCACTAATATTTTATTTGCGACTTTCGAAGCATTTAAAGCTATTTCTCTAAATCCAACTTCTAAAAGAGTCTAAAAAATTAAAATATCATAAAATAATTAATTAATAATAAAAGATTCAGAAAGCTAAAAAAACGTAATCGGGTTTTTAAAAAAGCAAAAATCATTGCTCATTTAATTTAGCAAAAACTTGTTAAATATTTTAATTCGATTTCTGCCAAGCAGAGGTGGGTCGGAATTCCGATTTCCTATTTCCGGCGTTTTTTTCATTTTGATTTCCGAAAAAAATTTTTTATCTTCGATTTCCGACTTTTGAGCAAGTTCCGATTTGCGGCTCTTCCGATTTCAACACCTCTGACTGTTCCGATACACTTCTGCTGTCAAGTAGCTAAATTTATGTTAACCTCTTATAGATTGTTGGGAAACTCCCTTGTTATTCAATGTATTTCCAGCTCGTTTTTTTACTAAATTAAATCTCCATGTACTGGGTTTTCAGGTAATTACCTCATTAGATTTCAAAGTCCTATATATTAAAAGAATGATTAAAGGAAACTAACAACATTATGTCCATCACTAGCTAAAGTATCAGCTATTCGGGCATTGGAAATCATATGACTTCGACTTATAGTTGGACTAAAAACTAAAATTTTTGAAGATTCAACATTAAATAAATATATTAGTAAAAATAATAAATATTTAAACAAAATATTTTTCATTTTTTAATTTAAAAGAAAATCTGCAAATTTTTGAAGAAAAAAATTAATTTTACTGTTAAATTAAAAATTTTTTTTGTTTAAATTTAAACAAAAATCAATTAAAAAAATTTTTTTTTAATAATTTAAAATAAAATAAACAAATAAATCAATTATTTATTTACTTAAAAATATGCTTAATCGAACTCAACCAGATTTAACAAAAAAATTGATTTTCTAGTAATAAAGCTTATTTTAAATAAATAAAGTGTTTCTAATTTAATTTTAAATTTTATTATTTTTTAAATTGAAATTAATTAAAATTTAAATGCTTAACAATATAACATTTAATTTTTAAAAGAAGAATGTTTTAAATATTTTATAAGGAGACTGATAAAAAAATATTTAAATGATTCTTTAATAATACAATCTTTATAGAATGTTAATTAATTTTTAATTTTATTTATTTATTTTTTTAATACAAAGTTATTAAAAAAAGAAACGTTGCATTAAGGAAAAAAATTTGAAAAACCACATTAAGGAATCGTCATGTATAATTTTTGCAAAAAAAATTAATTTCACGTGACGATAAAATTTATTTATTACTGGCCAATCTTTTAAATGCGGCTGTAATTTTGCAAGCACACTTTTATGCAAAAAAAATTTATAAATACAAAAATGAATTTTAAAAAATTAATTTATTTTTTAATTGATAACAAACTTCAAAAAATATTTTAAAAAATTGTAAATATTTTTATTTGACTTTTTTCACCATTATAAGTTTTTTTTAAAAAATTTTTAGCTTTTAATAGAAGGAGAGAAGAAGAGTATTTTAAATATTTAATTATTATCTTCAAAAATTCCTTAATTAATTATTAAATGACAAATAATTATTTTTATAAAAATAATTATTTAATTAAATAAATCGAAAAAATATTCTTTATCAGTTAAAAAAAATTATTAACATTCTCTAAAACACATAATTAAACATTAAATTTATTTTTTATTGTTTGTAAATAAATTTTATTGAAAAAATAAATAAATTGTTAACAAATTAGAGCAAAAAATATTTTTGAAAAAATATGTATGTAAATATTTTTATTTGACTTTTTACAGCATTAAAAGTTTAATTTTGTATAAGGAAAGCCAATAATCCAGATTTCTTCTTTATTAATATTTACGGATATTGTGTGGATATCCGCTGGTTAGACAGATATTACTCATATCTGTGAACATGCCAGATTTATATTAATCCCCCTCTAAATGAGGGTCCAGTGATTTACTTAAAATATATTTGAAAAATTTATCACAAATTTTTATACATTTAATTTTTATTTAATTATTTGTAAATAAATTAGGTATTTGTCACGAATTACGCCACAAAGAAATTACGCCAAGCAGTCAAAATTTGATGACTCGTAGGAAATTAAGGGATGTCTTTTACAGAATATTTAGCTTTGCGGACTGCATTTACAGAAGATAGAATGCGAGTTGGAAAGCCAATAATCCAGATTTCTTCTGTATAGTTACCTCAAATTGAACGGCACTGGAAGAAGACTTGTGAATGAATAGAAAAATATTTAGAAATTATTTAATAAAGTACATTTTGTCATGCACTAAAGTGGGGAATATTTCAAAACACAAAGAATAATTTTCTTAAGTTATGAAATAAAAATACTCAAATTTCTATCTTCGTATTAATTCTTTTCTCAATAATTTTTTTCCAAATTTAGAAGAAGAAAGCCTGAACAAATATGTTTTTAGTGGATAAAACTTTAAAGAATATTCTAAAAATATTTTTTGCTAAAATTTTTTTTATTAATTCAATTTATTTTATTCTTTAATCCTTTTCATTTAAATAACCTCAATTATCACAGCATTATTGCCTCAAAAAAGTATTTTATCTTTCCAAAAGAACTTTTGTGTTTTAATTAACAATAAATATTCTAAAATTTATTCAAAACAAAGAAATACTCTAGAAAAAAATATCTTCATTTTTTTATTAACCCCACAGCTTTAATTATTAAGTAAAATGTAAATCTCTCGCTGCAAGGGGTAATTATTGGGGAGGATGTGCTGGATTTAGGGTATATCTCAATCCAATTGAGGCGAAATTGATTTTTTTGATTTTAATTCTTTAAATATTTTTAAAGTTTAAATAAAATAATTAAGGGGTAATTATTTGAGAGAGGGTAAACTAAAAGTTTTTGCTTTTTCAATAATTAATTTAGAAGTCCAACAAAAATATTATATAAAAAAGAGTCCATTCTTTGTTTTCTAATAAAAGTACTGAAATACTAAGAATTTAAATTTTTTTAATAGAGAAAAAATTACTAATTAAAAATGAACGGCAAAATCATTACAAATATTCTTTTCTTTATTTTGTTAAATTTATTAATTAACACCCTGATGGCAAAAGAAACATGCTCTGATGGCACAAAGTGTGATAATGTTTGTTGCAAGTATTCTAAGCAGAACAAATATTAGTAATGTCTAAATTTATTTAATAAAATTAAATATAACTTTAAAATATTTATTTTATTTCTCAATAAAAGTGTACACAAACTGGAAATTATTTAAAAATAAACAGTCAAGTTTAGAAGCACTCTAGTATGTATCGATATAGAAAAGTATAACAGAATTAAGACACTAAAATTTTAATTTTATTTAAATTTAAATTATAATTTAGTTGTTGCACAACTGTTAGTGCCTGTATCACTCATAATGGTAAATGTGCTCCTACTAATGGAATTGTGCCATTGTTAGCGGGAGAAAAGAATTGAAGAAAAGAGATTAAAAGAGGTGCTTCATGAGAGAATTTGATAAAAACACGATTATTTAAATTTTTTGATAGGGGGATTTTAAAAGAAAAGAAATTTTTTTAATTTTATTTAACATAAAAAATGGGAATAATTATTTAAATTTAAAAAATAATAAAGGTTCTTTTTTGGTTTAAAAATAAATTATTTTGTCTTTTAGATAAGATAATCTTTAGGGAGTAATAGATAGGGTAATAATACTTTGGGTGATTCGATTTGCTCGAAGAGTTCTTTCAAATATTCGGGGATTTTGAAGGCCCCTTCACTTTGTTGCGCCAAACTGTCAACCAATTATTTTAAGAAAAATGAAAGGAGTGAATGCAGCAAAAAATGCCTTTTTGTTGAATGACTTTTGCGGACATGTAGATTATGCTTTTTCGGATACAGGCGGTACCTATTTTTAACTTTTTAATGTCTAAAAATCCTAGCTCTATTTATATTAATTGTTTATTAAAAATACATATAAGATTTATTAAAAAAGTTAAATTTAATTTATTTTTAAAAAAAGAGTGGAATTAAATACATGATTTAGTGTGGCTTTATTAAAATAAAAGAGAGTAGTTATTCATTCTTCTTACTTTCTTTTTCTTCCTTCTTATTAAAAAATGTTGATCGTCTTCCTCCAATTAATCTCAAAAACTTTAAAAACCTCCAAAAAATAAAAATTAAAAGAATTGAGGAAATTGTTGCCAAAATTAAAATATCTAAATTATAAAAAGCAATTGTGCTCATATTTCTCGATTCTGGTAATAATTCTGGAAGTTTTCCTCCACTTATTTCAAGAAAACGAATGCTCCGAAGAAGACGTTCTTCTGCAGAGAATGGCTTGTTTAAAACTAGTTTTTGTATTCTTTTTGCTGATTTTAGATAACTAAAAAGAGAAAAATATGTAGTTTTAGTAATGTTTGACATCGTATACATATATGTAAATGCCCTTCTGTCTTAAATATAAGGTATCGTTAAGGCCTCCCCCACCCAATGGCCAACTGAATTAAAAAACTTATCCTAAATTGAGTATCTAGCAGGTATGGGCTGTCTTCCGCTTCCATCTTCCGCAGAATTATGCTATTTTGACCTTTCCGCTTTCCGTTTTTTAAACAGCAAAGCCCATTCCTGTTATCTAGTATTGGGGGTATCTCTTAATGAGTAAGCACTATTGGTTCTATCTTCTAGGCGGGTCCAATTAATTCGGTATATCTTATAATGTTTCCATAGCTATCTTATAGTGAGATTCATATCATCCGTCAGCCCTAAAGATAGACTTAAAATGAGGTTTATAATGGATGTAAAAAATCCACCTTGGATTCTCAATAACTTTCAAAATAGCCTTTTTAAATTCTTCATTTCCATTAAGTAACAATCTTTTATCAAATGGAAGTCCCCAACCATTCCTTTCTGCCACACGTCCATTTCTATACTGATCAGCAAAAAACCCCATAGAAATTAAAGGTATTCCAGCGCGTGCCGATTCCATTAAACTATTGTAACCTCCATGAGTAATAAATAATTTTAATCGAGGATGTTTTAAAATAAAAGTTTGTGGAGCCCATGATGTGACGAAAATATTTTTGAATTGTTTGGCAAAATTTAAAGAAAACTAAAAGAATATCTTTTAAAGTATTTCAAGCGTTTAGGCTAAAACACTATCCAAGCAAGATATTTCACTGAAGTGAGATCTACCTAAAATGGGTGCGAGCTCAAGCGCATGGTAATACTTAGGTTTAGACCTCCCCCCCATGCTAGATCCTATTTATTCGTTAATAAAGAAAAGACAATTGGAAAATGAGGTTGATTTTGTGTGAACGATACTCCAGATTGTATTTTCAGTCGGATAGTGTTTTGCCCCCTTTTATTCCCAAAATTTACATTGTCGTCTTTCTCAATTTTCACAATAAAATGATAATCAGTTAATTGGGAGAAAGTTAATAATACATTCCTTCTGAAGTTTTCATCCATATATGTTGTTTTCACTACTGATCCCGTTGAAAAGAATATAACACCCTTTTTACCTTTAGACATTTCAATATTTATTGGGTCCTTTTAAAAAAATAATTAGTAAAGATTTTGGTTTTATTTTCCTAACAACTTTTTAATAACTTTCAACCTAGTCCTATATAGCACCTAAACAGGTGGCACGCCCCGAGTGTGAGGAGAATCAAGTCTAGCTTTGCTTGTAAATCCATAGGCGGCAAGGCATGACATAATACATACTTACTAACAAGTATGTAAAATCTAGGGTTTAGCGGTATCGGGATCCCGATCGGTATCGGGCGGTATCGATAAAATAGCCGATTTTATAGATTGGCGAGAATTTTAGTGGTTACACAGAAAAACAGAATTACTCAGATACATATCAAATTAAACAATTTTTTACCTCAATTTTATTAATTTTTGTATTTTTTCCTTCCTCCATTCCAAGTCCACCAATATAAACAATATTCGAAAATATTGGACGGGGAAAATCCAACAATTCATCAACATTAACAAAAACAAAAGGACTTTCTGCAACAATAGTCCTTAAATCAGGAAATGTTGCCCCATAATGTTTTTTAAATATTTTAGTTAAAGGATCTACTCCATAAATTGTATAAACATAACCAGCAAATTGTCTAAATAAATTTGTTGTTCTTTCATAAATTGACATTTTATCGGGTAAATTAGAATCATATAATGAAGGAATGTAACTTCCTGGATTTGAAAGTCCTAATATCGAAGCAACATGTTCTTGTATTGGGCAGCTTTTTAAAAATAAAAGATAATTTTTTTTACTTTTTACTGGACAGCCCTCAATATAGCACCCTCACAACCCTCACCCACCACTTGGGCTGAAAAAATCTTTTTTTATAATGAGTATAATTTAATTAGAGATCCGAAGAAAGACTGAATAACAGAAACTTTTGGTTCGGGGATCGTCTTTATTATTGTAAGGCAGGGGACTCTCATTCATACTTACGTTGGAAGTATAGAAGTACGAATTTTTATATTAGATTTACATTTTCCCATGTAATATACTATGTTATTATCTACCCACATTATAAGCCCTTTTTCGACCTTACATTTAATTGTATGTACTTAAAGCTTAGGTATATTTTATCCTGGCCAGTAGAAACAGAAGGACGTTCTGCCACAATAGTTCGTTAATATTTAGTATCCCTTTATGTTTATTACCACGGCAATGTTTATGAAGTAAATATTATGAATTGGATTGCGTATTTACATATTATTATCTTAAGAGAGAAGGGCCCGCTTTTTCTGGGTAATAGTTTACTTTTTTAGTGATAGTTTACATTTACTTTACAAATAAATTTAAAAAATACCTAGAAACTAATATATTTGTAGGTATACCCAAAAGATGGCCAACACCAGCTCCACAAGAATTTAACTGTTCAGATATTATTATATCAAATTTTTCATTTCTAAGTTTATCAAAAAGCTTTTCTGATACAAGCAAAAATTCTTAAAATGAAAAATGTTTTTTATTATTTTATTTTCATATGTGTTAGGGACAAAACACAAAATACTTTCCAAAATATCAATTAATTTTTATGGAATGAATTTATTGTAATTCGCATCCCTCCTTTTTACTTTCCGTGGATTTAAAATTTTCTGGATGTTTAATTTCGCCTTATGCATCCCACGTTTATTTCGGCACACTTATTGGTTTTTATTTATTAGTTGTTCGACCGAGGTGCTGTTTGCCCAAAAAATAAATAAAAATAATATCTGCCAGTATTTTGATTGTACAGTGATCTGTCCCTCTCTCTTTAACTTACTTTCACAAGCAATATTGAAAGATGTTTGTAAAATAGTACCCACTAGAAAATCCATAGGTAAAAAAACACTCTTAAATGACATTTCAGCTATCATGGATGAATTAAATTCTTTTGGATCTATAAATTGTCCTGGCACTAATATTGTATTTGCAACTTTTGAAGCATTTAACTCTCCCACCTTTGCAAGAAATTCAACTTCTAAAAGTGTCTAAAAAATTTAAAAAATTAATTAAATGAATTTAGGCGAAGATTTAAGATTTATATGAGAGAAATCGAAGTTATCGTCCAGTTAGCTAAATTAGTTTATCGGTAACTATCAAATGTTTCAGATTCTAATCCTTTCAAGTTTATGCTACCCTCATAAAGGTAGTTCTCCCTCAATTAGAGAGAAACTTTCCCGTTCCTCTCATTTTATTTTATCTCCCAATTTTATCAAGTTTTAGTTTCTCAATCCTCTCAGAATAATTATTTTAAAAAATAATTTCAATTAAAACAAAACCAACTAACAACATTATGTCCATCACTAGCTAAAGTATCAGCTATTCGAGCATTGGAAATCATATGACTTCGACTTATAGTTGGACTAAAAACTAAAATTTTTGACGATTCAACATTAAATAAATATATTAGTAAAAATAATAAATATTTAAACAAAATATTTTTCATTTTTTAATTTAAAAGAAAATCTGCAAATTTTTGAAAAAAAGTTTAATTTAATTTTACTGCTTGAAAAGATTAATTAAAAAAAATTTTTTAATAAATAAGCAAGTCAATTGTTTTATCTTTTTTTTGTGTCTCTCTTATTGTCTAGACAACAAAATTTAAAAAAAAAATAATAAAATAATTTTTTAACTTTTAATTTAACAAAAAAATGCGCTTAAATGAACTCAACCTGAAACAAAAGGAAAATTGATTTTTTTAATAAACTCGTTTTAAATAAAATAAAAATTGAAGTTAAAATTTATTTTATAATTTTAAAATTAAAGTGTAAATTATAAATGGTTGGCAAGATAAAAGAAAATTTGAAAATAAATTACATTTAAATTGAATTTTTAATTTCAAATTTTGTTGTTAAATTAAAAATTATTTTTATTTTTTTCAAATTTTGTCAGTCTCGATTATATGTATTAAATTGAATTTTTAATAGAGGAAAAGAGAATAATGTTTTAAATAACTGGAAATTTTTTTTCTAAAAATTCGTAAATTATATATACTCTCGATAAATTATTAAAAGAATTTTATAGTGAAGAATAGAAACTACATAAATACAAACTACAAACTTTTTTCTACTATCATTATTTAAAAATGATGTCAATTTAATTGATAAAAAACAAATTAATGATTAAATAATTAACTCTCTTTTCTAAAGTCTAAAATAATTAAAATTAAATATTAATTGTTTTCTCGTTTATTCTTTAATTTTATTGATAAAATGTGAACAAACTAGAAAAAATAAAATAAAAAATACAAACTACAAAATATAAAAAAAATAAATTTTTTTATTATAAAAAAAAGGGACAGCTGAAAATCAAAAAAAAGGGTAATTTCTTCAAAATTCCCAAAAATTATTTGGTATAAAACAAAAATCGAAAACGAATTTAGAAAATTTTGAGAAAATATTTAATTTAATTAAACGATTTTTATTCTTTGTCTTTTTGTTTTGTTTAATTCAATCATTTATGATCAAAAATGTTGCTTAATTTAAAGAAAAATGTTTAAATAAATTAAAATTAAAACAAAATCTAAATTTTTTATGTAATTAAATCAACCACAAAGGAGATGAGTGTTTGTAGTAGTAAATAGAGATCGGACCAAACAAATATTAAAAAAATCAAATATTTGATCAAATAATTTGCCAATCTCTAGTAGTCAATACCTTTCTGTCTTAGGATGTACAAGCAAAGCTAAACCCTATTGCCTCCCGACTCGAGGCGGTGCCACTTAATCAACGGAAACAAACCCTACTAACTGAGGCCAGGCATCGGAACTTAGTCTTCCGTTAAGTGGAAGTCAGGTAACCACGGCAATAATTTTTGCAAAAATTTTTTCAAAACCTTTTTTATCTTTATAAACCTTTTTTCACCTTTATTTAATTCTTTAGCTGATTCACTACAAATTTCCCAACTTTGCTTTTTCAATTCATTATTATTTTCAACTATTATTTGATTGATATTTGGGAAAAGCCCAATTTCCCCTTTCTCTGTACTTAAATAAAAAGTATCAACTTCTCTACTAAAAATTTTTTTATTGTTTTTAAATACAAAACTCGAAGAATTTGCATCATTTAACACAATTTGACAATATTTATTTCCATTATAATCTGTGCCTATTAATGGCATATATTCAATTAACTTGAAAAGGAAAAAATATTTTTATAAGGGAAAATTTTTCAGACTATTTAATTGTCAATTTTTATATTAATCAACTTTATTTTCTTATTAGTGTTGTATTTTAATTGGAAAAAAATTTCAAAAATTACCTTTCAAATTATCCTAAATTTAATTATTTATGACAACCATGGCCCGTATCATAAGAATGTGGTTCAAGGTTATTTAACCTATATCTAGGGGGTTAAGTCAAAAAATTTTCAAAAAGATAAAAACTTTGATTCTACATCATAAGATAGTGGAGATAATTCTCTATATATAAATTGAGAGAGATTTAAAAATTTCTCAATTTTCCTTAAAGTTATAGAATTTTTAAAAGCCTACCGCGCTTTTAAACGCTAAAATTGGCTAAAAAAGGGGTACCTCGCGGTTTCCCTTATAACTCAAGAAATAATTATCCAAAAATTCTGAAATTTTTAAAGATGGTTGAACACAATCTAAAGAATATAAATTTAAAATTTTGTAATTTTACTATTTTTTCGAACCGAGTTATAGACTTCGGAATTTAAGCTAACCCTGCTATAGAGCAGGGTCTGAGATTTACCACTCGGTAGGGGTTAAATGACCAAAAAGTGCTTTTCATATAGTACGGGTTAACCAAAGGGCAAATGACCTGGTTAAATGACCTGGTCATTTGACCAAAAACCAGAGGTTTTTCTTATAGTAGCAAAGGTACCTCCGGTAACCGGTTACATAACCACAAACCACGTTCTTATAGTACGGGCCCAGGTCATTTAGCCTATACCGAGAGCAAACATGTTACCGAGAGCAACGAGGGATAAAGTCGGATATATCGAGATATTTCAAACTAAGAACAGTTACCCTATTGCTTTCAGGCCCTACGGCCACTGGGTCTTGGATTTGTTGGATTTGTGGATTTGTTTTGATTTCTTGGATTTGTCTTGGATTGATTGCCCTATTGAAAAAAAGTTCATTGAAAAACATACATTTCCATCAACAATATTTAAATCTTTAATCCATCTATATATAGTATATCTCAAATTTGTACATTTTTCTACTTCTTTATCCTTTAAATAATACAAATCCCCTTGTTCCCCAAGAAAAAAGAAATAATTAGTTTTTCCAAATAAAGTATTATTTTTTGCATATTTATAGAATACTTCAACTCTAATTATTTTCTCATTTAAATTAATTATATTTCCAGTCTCTTTAATTATTTTTTGATTGTGTTCAATAAATTCACAACGGTGACCAGAATTTTTGTAATATTTAACTGTCATTTCATTGCATTTACAAAATTTAAAAATTATTAAAATTAAAAATAAATTAATAATAATTAATTGTTTATTTAACATTTTATCTTTGAAAAATTAGTTAAAGATTTTGTTGAAATTTTTTTCGATTATTTAAAAAATTTTAAACAATAAAGATTTTAAGTACTGCAAAATATCTTTGAGAAGCATGTTCTGATAACTAAAATAACTTTGATAACTAATTCACTTGTAGATAAAATTGAGTTTAAAATACGCCTTTAGATTTGTCTGGCTTTTGGATGGAAGGGGCTCACTCAAATGCTATGTTTAAAAACTCGCATGTCATAATGAGAAAAGACTAGACAATATCGCGCGTGATTTTGCCTCCCCCTCTTTTAAATTTTATTATCCGTCACAAAAGATTATGCAAGCAATACATCCAATTTGGAAGCTCTTCATTATAAGCAGGGTTGTCGGTTCTTGGAAAATCTTCGGATATCTGGAACCTAACCATTATCCAAACCAAAAAATCATTAGTTCATCGGCTTGGTTCGGTCCAGAACCGAGAACCCTAATTATAAGCAGAGGTCGGTCGGAAATGACGAAAGTGTAGGAAATCGAAATTCCGACCGACCCCTGATTATAAGATACAATTTTTTAAGTCCCAAAGGTTTACACATAATGAATTATTTAAAATAAACATCGCTTTAAAATACCTAAAAGGACAATTTTAAATTTAAAAATAATTTAAATATAAAGGTTAAGAAGAGGAAAGTTAAAAATGATAAAATATAACTATAATAAGTGAAGTATTTATACAGAAAAATATTTCAAAAAATTTTAAAATTATTGTTATTAAAGCACTTAAGTCCTTTTTATTTTTTAAATTAAAAAAACAAAATTGTAGACATAATAAAATGCACTTTAAATAATTAATGAGAAAAAATTACTTCCTTACATCATAAAGTTAACTAGACAAAACAATGACTAATATTTCTTTTGAAATTTAAAAAAATAATATGATTAAGGGCATGTTAATAGACTTTTAAGAAAACCATGGTGAAGGATTTCAACAATGCATAAGTGAATAATTTCGAGAGTGGAGGTCGATTGTAGCTACAATTAAAGTTTCGAGATAACCTTAAGTAAAATCAAACTTTTGCGTGAAAAACATGTAGAAATCGGGATTAATCAGGTTTTTTGTTGGAAATCAGGCATGATAGTTTTTAATTTAGGTATTCGGTATAGTAATTCTAGCCACTCTCGGGAGGGAATTGACCTGGCGTATGATTAACAGTAGAGTTGGGGTTTTCGAGTCGGGCCGACGTTCCATCCTTATCGGGCTTAATTTGTTCGGGCCAGCCCGATCGAGTCTTTTTCAGGCCAAAATTGATGCTCGACTCGATCTTTCGGACCGGGCCGGATCGGGCCCCCAACCCTACTTAAAAGAGACGTGTTATTGACGAGTCGTATTAACGAGATTCTACTGAGATTCCACTGTTTGAATTACATAAAAAAGGTTGACGCAGATCGAAATAAGCAAGGTTGAGTTCTAAACCCTTTCTAGTTAAGTCTACAAAAATACAAAATTTGAAACAAATTGAATTGGAAGATAAAAAGTTATAAAATTTAACTAATTCCCCTCACAAATGAGAGAATTTGACCATTTTCATCTGACCATTTTATAACTCGTCCCTTTCTGACCCTTTCTCTTGTTCGCAAAAAAGTCAGACGCACGAGAGATGCAATAGAATGTGGAGAGTACATAGATATTTAATTTAAATTTTGGCGTTCTGTTTAGGAAAAGTTTGCAAGTTTTCACGCGTGCGTCAAAGAGCTGGAAGCGCTGTGCAGCTGCATTTTTGTCAGGAATTTTGTTGGAAAGCTAACATAAGTTCTGTTTAGCCTCGTGTTTATCATTTCAATTGCCCATGCAGCGTTTCTAATTATAATCAACCTTTCTTTTTTCAGTAAAAATGACTATTGAAAAAGTATCTAAATCTGAAAGAAGTCGTTGTTTTTTTGATATTCAAATTGATGGTGATCCTGTTGGACGTGTGGTAATGGAATTGTTTGATGATTTGGTTCCGAGAACTACAAAGTATGTTTTTACTTAAATTGTTTGTAGGTTAAGATTAAAGATTTGAGGATCAAAAATGTGTTTCTTATTATTAAATAAAATTCTTTAAAGGAATTTTCTTATGCTATGTACAGGACAGGCTGGTTTAGGCAAAGTTACTGAGAAGCCACTTCACTACAAAGGTTTTAGTTTTATTTTATTTTTTGAGTTTATTTTCATTTTAAGGGTCTCTGTTTCACCGTGTTATTAAAAATTTTATGGTCCAGGTTTTTTAAAGTTTTCACTTTTTAGTATTAAATTATGCCTTCTAGGGCGGTGATTTCTCTGCAGGTAATGGAACTGGAGGAGAATCAATTTATGGAGGTGTTTTTGATGATGAATCTTTTCTAATTAAACATGATCAGCCATTTATGTTGAGCATGGCAAACCGTGGTAAGGACACAAATGGTTCTCAGTTCTTTATTACAACAAAGCCTGCCCCACATTTGGACGGTGTTCATGTGGTTTTTGGAAAGGTTTGTTTTTTATAAATTTATAAATAATACAATTTGGTTTTAGGTAATCTCTGGGCAAGAGGTTATCACTCAAATCGAGAATCTCAAAGTCAATGCAAAATGTAGGCCAGTGGCGGATGTAATTATAGCTAATTGTGGTTTGTTTTTTTATTTTTTATAAGCTTTGGTATTTTTTTTAATTTTCTAACAAGGAAACATTCCAAACTGATGAGAGTTTTGTATTTTTTGGTACCAATCGATAGAGCATCATCGATTTACTCTTGTAGATTTTTTTGCTAGGAATATGAAGCTTAAAAGTTACAGGGCTTCAAAGTTTGCCAAAAATGGGGGAGAAAAGGAGTAAATTGATTATGCTCTATCGATTGATGCCAAAAAATACAAAATTTTGACTCACAGTTTGGTATGTTCCCTTGTAGATGTTTTGGAAAATTTGGCTTTATTAGACATACATGCGTTGTTTACGGTTTTTATATGTCCTTCCTCATATTCAATATAAATTTCTCATTTTTTTTTGCATTTTAAGGCCAGCTCATAAGAAAGCGACCTGCTGATGATGTCGAGACTGAAGTTAAAAAAAGGTTATTATTGATATTTTTGTATAAAATTCTATTTAATAATTTAAGTAAGAAGCACAAAAAACGGAAGCGTGAAAAGGATAAAGAGAGTAATAGTGATTATGAAGAAAGTCAAACTGTCCTTCCTTCAATTGGACAGCAAGCTGTTGTAAATGAGCCAGAAATCATTTCTTCTGTCAAGGCAGACGATTTACCTGAAGTACCGACAACTAATAAATTTTTGATGAGAAGGTTGTTATTTTTGTTCCCTTTCCCTATTTATTCGTTTTTTCAGATCGAAAACGCCTGAAAATGCTACCAGTCATTCAAGTCGTCCTCCGGTGCGCCAGTCTTTTGCTAAAACCCGATCTGGTCATAGGGTCAAAGGTCGTGGATCATTACGTTTTCGGACTCCGTCTGATGATGAGGGGGTAAATTTTCAATATTTTATTATATTTTTTATTTTATCATTTTTAAATTAAAAATTGTTTAGGTCTACTAAAAAAAATTTTTCTAATTGTTTAGTTTCAATAAATCCAGAGCACGTCAACAGGCATTTGATTTAAGATTTTTTGTAAATTTTGGGGATTAAAATTATACTCAATTTAATTATTAAAAATTTTAAAAATTATTTTAGAGCCGAGTTCCTGTTCATTCTCGTTCGCGTAGCGCTACTCCTCCACACTGGAAACGTGAAGAACGTCGATTGATTTCAATGAAGGAACTTCAGGATCGTATAAAAATTAAATTAGAACAGGAAGAAAAGGAAATACAAGAAAAACAACAAAAACAGGCAGAAAATGCTACTAATGAAACAGAAACTTTTGGGTATAGGCTTCCAGTGTTTCCCCCGCCTCAACAAGTTAAGGAAATTAGAGAACGAAATCATTCTCAAACTGAGGTTATTTACTCTTTGTTAATAGAGGAGACTTTATTTTATATTTTTTCAGTCTTCTCGTTCTGAACACGTTGAACGTGGTGATCGCCGTTGGCCAAATGATATGTATCAACGAGATCGGGACAGAATGGCTCGTGTCAGAGATCAAGAACGTGATAATACTCGTAGAGATAGGCGCTATCGGGATGAAGGGGCGCAGAACGGGAGAGCAAGAAGTCGATCGCCACGTTTTGGAATGCGAAATGGTGTAGGTGGACGTTACCCTCAGTCTCCGGACCGTTCAATTTCTCATAATCGTAAGCCGGAAGAGGATCGGTAATTTCATAAAGATGGTTAAAAGTTTTATTTTTCACTTTTTAAGGATGTTTGGGCGCCGAAATGAAAACGATCGTGTTCGTAGACGAGATGATGAACGCCCAGCTGAAAGGCGTGGAGTTGAACGACGTAATCAAGAACACGATAGTGAAACTTCAAAACGTGCAGTTGATGAAAGTCGTGTATTTGGTCGTTGGGCAGATAATCGTGATGAAAATGAAGGGATGCCGAGAAGACGGTTTGAAGAAGAGAAAAGATTGTCTCCGTCAAGACATCAAGAAAGAGAAAGGTTTGCAATTTTAGGGGCACTTAATTATCCAAATATTTTTAATTTTAACAGGCGCGATTATAGTCGCCGTAACGAGCGTCGCCGCAGTGTAGAGAGAAATAACAAAACTTCAGAAATTGAACGTGAACGTGAGTTGGCACGACGGTTGCATCGGCGATATGAAGAAGAAGAAAAGCGTCATCAATTTGATGACAACAGAAATGAGCATGATGTGAAGAGTAGTAAATCATCTTCTAAACAAGAAAGGGAGATTGTAAGTTCTTCTGTAGTTTAACTTTATTTAAATACCTATTTAAATTTAGCAATATGAGGATGAGGGTGTTTCTATCGAAGATGGTGAAGTTAGTCCAGAAAAGAAAATTTTAGTTCGAAGGCAACGAAGTGAAGAAAAAGAAGATGATGAAGAAACTGATGTGCCATTACCAAATTCTACATTGTCTGGGTTTTTGAGTCATTTAAGAGGGAACAAAGATAACAAGCGAGATAAAGAAACAAGTTCTACACCTACAAAACATGAAAAAGGATCAAAATCATTTGAGGAGAAAATTCCAAAGGAAAGAGAAGAATCTAAAGAAGAAAAATCTATTTCATTGGAGAGACCTATTTTATTGGAGAAGGTAAAGAATGAACAATTAACACCAACAAAAACTCCAAAAAAGCAAGAGACATCTAATAAGAAAACACCAACTACTGAAGAACTTCCTCCAAAGAATGTTTCACCAGCAAAGGAAAATGATGAAGAAACTCTAAAGGATTCAGATTTAAAGTTAGATAAAAATTGTTTTTATTTAGCTTTTAATTTTTTAAAGAAATATTGATCATCAACATACAAATGATAATGGACGTGAACGGGATGAAGATGAATTTGGTGATGATGAAAAGTATAGTTTTTGATAAAATATGTCTATTTTTTATTTTAAGAATAAATGAACGTGACGATTATTGTGGACGTAACAATGATGAAGTGGCCAGAAACATGGAATCAAACATTGCTAATGTCGAAACACAGGAGGGTCTTCAATTTACTAGTCAGGATCATGATGAATCTTCAAAAGATGTTGATAAAAATCGTGATCGTTTTGATGAAGATGCGATCAAATCAAGCCATTTTGTTGAGGAAAAGAAAGCAACGTATGAAAATATTGATGAACCAGTAGATAAGGGTGATAAAGTAGAAGGAACCATTAAAGAGGAGAAAATGGAACAGATAACTTCTCCTGTAAAGTCTCCAACAAAACAAAAAGAGAAGGAAAAACAAAACGAATATGAAGTTTCAAGTGTTAATTTGCTCAATGAAAACATTCCTATGGAAGCAGAGGCTGAACCTGAAGAAGAGGAATTTATCTTTAAACAATTAATTTTGCCTCAGAAAACTAAAGAGGAGGAATACTCAACGCCAACATCTTTACATAAATCTCCAGCAAGTAATCTTTCTACTCCTAAAAAGTATACTCCGGCACTAAAGAATGTATTAAAAGTGGAAAATGATATTGATAAGGTACAGCAGAAATTTTTTTATTATATTTAGACCCTTATTTAGCATTCGAAATTAAGGCTGCAAAAATTGTATGTTTGATAGGTTAATCTCATTATTAGCTAACCCTTGGAGATGAAATAATTCTATTTTATAATGAGGTCGTTAACCGTCTTAAAAATTTATCTTAAACTGACTAGGTAAATCTATGTAATTCTGGGCTAAGGTATAATTCAAACTAAAAAATCTTCTTTTACTTTTGGATCCCTTTCTCTATGATTTACCAACCTAAGGTGTGTATATATTCTCAATCCGTATGTTTAATAGAGAGGTTCTGTTTTAATTAAATGTTATTTTTTAATACATATCTCTTTATATAATTCTAGGAAAGTCAACAAATTCCTCAAAATCCTTCACCACCTTCTTCTGCTTTGTTTAAACCAGAACGTTCAATTAAAATTGATGAGGATGAATATGATTCTGATGAAAATTTAACTGAAAAGAAGAGTATTAAAAGTGCAGAAAAAGAAATGTCAAAAGAATTGAATGAACGTGCCAAATCGGAAGAAAGTGTTGCATCTTCTAAAAAGTCAAAAAAATCGTCAACAAAATCTGCTTCAACTGGTAATTTTCTTGTTATTTTTAATTGTTTATCTGCTAAAATCTTCAATATTTTTTTAGCTGATTCATCTACTTCAAGCAGCGAAGACGATTCTCATTCTTCAAGTAATTCTCGCTCTTCATCTTCCTCAAGTTCTTCAGCAAGCTCAAAACGAAGCCGTGATCGTCGCAGTCGTCGACGTTCTTCGTCTTCTCGTCGCCGTCAGTCAGCAACGCGTCGACGACGTTCAAGCTCTCGTTCTTCTTATAGGTAGTTAAATTTCGATTTATTTAAAAGTTATTTCTTCCATATTTTTGAGCTAGCATATTTTTGAGATATTTAAGTACGACTCAAAATCTGTTTATCGGCTTTTCCTTTCATAGCTCCAAAGTTATTTTTTAAATTTAGGAGGCGCCGCCGTTCACGCTCTCGACATCGCTCTCGATCGCGAGATTCCCGCAGTTATCGTCGTCGGAGTACTTCTCGTGATCGAACTCGTAGGAATCGTACACGAAGTCGAAGTTATAGACGCAGCAGCCGACGTCGTTCAGACAGCCGTGATAGACGTAGTAGACGATGAATGAAGTGAAAGTAGAGGAGGGAGAGGATTAAAAATTTTCTTTTAAAGGTGACGGAAAAATATATAGTCGTATCTCGATATAATGGACCCTTAATTAACGAATCCCTTTATATAATGAATTTTTTCTTCAACCCCTCTGCTTCAGTTATTTCGAGATTCGACTATAATTTATTTTAATATTTTGAATCTTCCATTTTAATTTTCCTTTCAATGATTCAAAATTTTAAAATGAAATAATTTTGGAAGTCTGAGACAAATATTATTTTAATTGTCAATTTTGTTGTTTTTAAGCCTCATTTATTTTTTGTTTCCAATATTTTTTTTCAAATTTAGTCTTTACCGAAAACATTTGTGGTCGTTTATTGCAATACAATTTTGTGTTGTCAACCCTCTAATATTTTCACCAAAAATATTTTTCAATTAATCTCCCTTTTGTGTATTTTTAAAAAGTATGCATAAAGCTCTTAAAAATGTGAGGGTCTGAATTGGAGCCTGAATAATTAATTATACCACTTTCTCATCTTATACGTGTGATGCGCTCAAAAAAAATTTTCTGCACGATTTTAGAAATTTTATTCAAATACATTTATATTTTAATATCTAAAAGTCATAATTCATTATACGATAAACATAAAAGCCTAAAACAGAACAATTTAAAATCATAATTATAATTAAAGTTTTCCTCCATCTTGAAATTTTATTTTTCACATCAGAAAATCCTGTCCTAATCTCCAACTGTAATTCTGTCCGAACTCGTCTATTGTCAAAATTAAAAATGCTGCTATCTGTGTTAAAATAAAAATTGAATTTTTGTTTATTCTGAAAAAATTAATTTCCTCACCTTCCTCTTTTTAAAAACATCTCCAACAATTATAGTCAAAATTCTAGAAGAAACCAACAAATTTTTAGAATATTTCTTTAATTGTTTAAATATTTTTGTTGTTGATTCTTCTTCTAATATATTTAACTCTAATTCATTTGGAGGTATATTTAATGATTTAAATATGTCTACAAGAAGTTCATTTGGAATTGTTTTCTTCTTTTTATTTAAATTCATTTGTAAAATTTAAAAAATAAACTAAAAGTAAAATAATTTTGAGCGCTGCCCTGATTTTAAATAGCGCTCGATTGCACGTACCCTTTTTCTTAAAATCGAGTAAAATTTTTGGTACGAGCGTAAAAGCACAGGTTCTGACCGTATTAAGAAATATCAATTTACCGAAAATAAAAATATACTACGCAGCAAAATTGTTTAAGATATTAATTCTTTAATTTTACAAAATTTTTCAGAAATTAAATTTAAAACCTAATTAATGCAATTTCGCAAAATAGTCGGTACCGAGTATATTTATTTAAACAAATAAACCAATTAAAATTTAATTTATGTGTTTTTTCTATATTATCATTGACTTTGTTGTTTTATGCTGTTTTTTTTTATATATTTATATTGCGTTTTTAAGTGCCACACTACGACATTGTTGTCGAAGTAAGTGGCACGCCCTTTCGATGACATTTTTTTATGTTGATAAATAAATAAATAAATAAATAAATATATAATATTCAATTTATTCTTATGTTGAATCTATTTTCTTTAAAAATAAAATAAACAAAAAAATATTCAAATTATTTTTTATGACAAAATGTCTTAAAGAATAAAATAACAAAATGCCATTAATTCGAAAATACTAACAATTGAAAACATTCGGTGACAAAATTAAAATTTGATTTACATGATTTGCGGACAAAATGGGAGAAATCTGGCTTCTTGGGCTTCAAAAATTAGATAAATTTTCGCCTGCCGCGCAAATAGAGGAGAATTTAGGCTTCTTGGCCTTCTACAATTTTCAAAATTTTCGCCTGCGGCGCTGAAAGGAAATATTTTTAGCTCCATATTTGGCTTCACATCTCGAACTCATGGGACTCACGGGGACATCTCGATCTCACGGGATCCCGTCCCAGTTGAACTTTTGAACTCAAGCAGTTCCGCAATTTTAACTTTAAAATCCTCTGCAGTCTGCAAATCAAAAACACTCAATTTACGCAATCCGCAATCCGAGATATACATAAGGGATAATCTGGGATATAAGGTGATTTGAGGGAATATCCAAAAGCAATAAACATTTTTAATGTTGTAAGTACGAAGGACGGTCTGTCAGTAGTTTATTTTTAAGTACGTAAGTCCAAATAAGTAAGAAACCCATTTTTCATCAAGCAAAACACTTCCAAAAGAAGTAAAAAACCGATCCCTGATTTAAGGGTATACCTCATCAAAATAATTTTTTAATTTCTAACTAAAATATTTTTTAAAAAATCACAAATATAAGTGGATATCACAAAAAGATTTTCATTCACAATATACTCCTTCTTTACAATATGGTGATATATTTGGATATTTTTTAGGTTCAGGACCTCCCAAATCACCAACATAACGTTCTTGTATTGATGGATCTAAACCACAGGGACGAAAAAATTCTTGTCCTCCTTCATGTATCCATGAATTAGAAACCCATTTATCGCCTAGCAAAACAGGGCAAGCTGCATGTCTAGAAACTCAAAAATTAATTTTAAATTAATTAATTATTTAAAACCGTGTTCTAAAATCCCCATTTCCACTTCTCCACAAATTATACCAAAAAAGAGCATCATTTTTAGTTGGTTTAACAAATGTTTTAACATTACTAAAAACTGTATATCCCCCCTTTTCTGGGGTACTTAAATAAAATAAAGCTGTTGCAATTCTAGTGCCTAAATTCAAAAAATGATATCCTTTTTGTGATTCTTTTGTATTTGTTGAATTATCCTTTAAAATATTTTTTAAATTATTTTAATTTTATAAAATATAGAACCCTAGCAAAATCAAAATGTGGTCTAAAATGTCCACCAATTCCATAGTTTCCAACCTAGTGATAAATTATTTTTTATTTAAAATTGAGGTTTTGCGCTCTTTTGGGGACCCAACATATGTGGGTAATTCATATCAACTTAAGATTAAGTCATTGATAAAAAGGGATTTATGTTATTTCAACATTAGTCGATGTCCCTGTAGCTCAATGGTAGAGCTCCTGTATGTGGTGGGCGAAAGCGCCTAGCAATAATACAAGGAGGACTTTAAACTCTCTATATCATAAAAACCTGAACAGGCTCAGCCGATAACATATTTAAGTTTGTCATAAACACCATACGCTTAAATAATTGTAAAACAACTTTATTTTCCCCAGGATAAAGCCAAGCACTTAATAGTAAATATATTTAAATATTCGAATCATTTTTTTACATTTTGCTTATCCTGTAAGGAGCAATGATAGGTTCCCCAGTCTTGAGGTGTTGAACTTTAGATCTAGACATTCTTGGCATTGATAAACGTTTTAGAATTTCAATTTCCTCATCAGCAATAATATTGCGAAATATAACAGCCAAAGGCTCGAATCGAATAATTTCGACTTTAATTGGGGCTAAACGAAGGAATGGGCGGTCCATTTTGTAATAACAATAAAGTTGAGATATTTGTGTTATATTCTAAAAATTAAGGCACTACTTTCATTCCCCCCCCCCCATAAACCCCGCCCCTTTTCTTCTCCCTTCCTTGCCCTATGGAGTAAAGAAGATAAAAAGTTGAGGAATTTTAACCCAAAAATCACCTTATAAGAAAAGGAAGCGATAAAAAAAGGGGGCGGGGCTTATGGGGGATGAAAGTAGTACTAAAAATCAAATGAAAGGTATCTTAAAAATAATTTCAATTAACAAACAATTTCCTTCTCGCCACGACAAAGTTCTTCAAAAACTTGATAATCAACAGAATCTATGTAGGAATCATTTAATGATCTATAATTATTTAATGGAGGTATATTTAAACGAAAATCTTCTTCAACAACTCCATTAGCTAATAATTCTTGTTCATATAATTTTGAATTATTTGTGGCATTTGGATATAAAGGATCTTTTTTTTTAAATATTTTTTAAAATTAATTAATTCTCAATTACCTAATTCAATTAATTTATCATTAATAATTAAAGCTCTCTTTAAATTTCCTTGTTTATATAAGGAAATTGACAAAATATTTAAAATATCAGATTTGTTGATTTCTGTAAATTCTTTTTCGAGTAAATAATAACGTTCATTTGCTTCTTCCATCCATAATATTGAGTGATGATAATCCTTTTTTTAATTAATTATTTTTTTAAATAGAAAATTAACCTCTTCATTATATGCAGCCAAACCTATTTCATAACAATCCTTTGCTTAATTAAATAATTGTTTTATATACCTTTTAAGATCAAAAAATATTTACCATCCATTTGTCTGTTTATATTAATATCCTCAACAATTCCATTAGCCAAATCTTTAGTTTTTAATTTGTAAGTATCCTGTAAACGTAATAATCCTTGAATTGCTCCATTTAAATCAGCCTTTTTTTAAAATATGTATTATTTTTTATTAGAAAATAAATGGGATCTGGGAAGCTCTCATTTTAAGCTCCGATTCTTCACTTCTCTCCGTATTTTGGGTAGTCCCTAATTTCAAAATTAATTATCAAAATTTAAAACTCTCCCCTCAATATCGTCTTTTAATTTAAAAATAAGAAAATCCCCACCTCATTAGGAAAACGAGTTTCTCTTTGATTTGAAGTATTTTTTAAATAATTTTCAGCCAAATCTGATTGAATTTCTTTTTTAATTTCTTTCCAAGTTTTTGTTAATTTTTTGATTACTCTAAGAGCAATTAAAGGATTTAAAACACTTTTTGGTTCTAATTCAAATAATTCACTTTCTTCTTTTAAATATTTGTTTGCCATACTAGAAATTAGAATAATTTTTATAAAATAATTATTATATTGGTATCTTTTAAAAGACCTTCATTATTCATGAATCTTACCCCCCCCCCCCCACATTCTCTACATACGGACTAAAGTTGAGTGGCTCGGGATCGAGTTTGAGTGGCTCGGGATCGAGTTAAATGTATCCACAACTCGGTAAATGTCCAGCTCGCATTCTACCTTCTGCAAATGCAGTCCGCAAAGCATAATGCAAAGAGGCATTTTTCCTGCATTTTTCTCCCTTCTTTTTTTCCCCTCTAATTCCCTTCGAGTCATCAAATGTTAAAATGATTGGATGACAGCTTGGCTTGATTTCTGTGTTTTCTCCCTATATTCATTATTCATCAATATTCATTTTTGTGTATTAATTGTTTTGATAAAAAATAATGCTTCTTACATGTCCAACGAATAATTCTGCAAGAGAGAAATTTTGGATTCCCTTATTTGATCATAAATCTCTTGAACTCGAAAAACGGAAACAATCCCAATTACTTATTATTGAATATTTGCAAGGTTTTAGGCTTCTAAAATCTGAAATGGATTGTTCCAAATGCTTGAACAAAATGTCTATTAAATGGATTAAATCAAATAATGGTTATTTTTGGAGGTAAGATTAGAATTAGGGCATGATATTTCCTGTCATTATTAAGGTGTTCAAAGAAAGGATGCCAATCTTTGCTATCTGTACGAAACGGAAGTGAATTTTTTTCATTTGAAAACAATAAAAATCGTCTAACTTTGTATCAAATCCTTAAAATTCTTGAATATTATCTCATGTCAACGCCTTTATCACTCTCGGTAATATCTATAACATTCAGTCTTCTTATTTTATCATTTTCATGTCCAAAAACTTGAAATAAATCGGAAAACACTTTGATTATAATAATAACAAGCTGTCATCCAATCATTTGATGACATTTGATGACTCGAAGGGAATTAGAGGGAAAAAAAGAAAGGAGAAAAATGCAGGAAAAATGCCTCTTTGCATTATGCTTTGCGGACTGCATTTGCAGAAGGTAGAATGCGAGCTGGACATTTACCCCACAACTCTACTTATTCTAAAAACTACCTTTTTAAATTATCTAAACGTTTATTTTCCAATAAAATATAATTTTCTATAATTTTTGGAATTTCTTTTTCTACATGTACTAATTGTTGTAATTCTGCAGAAGATGTAAATAAATCTTGGGAATTAATTAATTTAATTAAAATAAATATATTAATTAAATAAAAATACATAAATGTATACATATTCTTAATTCTTTAAAATATTTAAAAGTTTATATCTATGTTGTTATTTAAATTTGTGTTCTCACTAAGAATAACTAATAAAAATTTATATTTATATTTATGTGTTGGATTCGTGATATTTTTATTTTAAATTTTTTGCTTATATTTTTGGTTTTTAAGTTATAATATGTATTAGTAAAAACAGTAATTTTTGTTTAATATTTTTAAAAATTAATATGTATATAGTATTCAGGGATGTCACGGATTGAGAAAAAAGTCGGTACGGGTTTTAAAAATTTTCTTCGGATTGCGTTTCGGATAACCCGTGACATCACTTGTAGGATTATAAGTAAGCGAGACGATAAAATAATTACCTACATCAATATTACATACCTAACTACCTTAATAAATTTCATTACCGAGCTTTCAAAGCTGACAGAGATTTTATAATAAAATTCTAATTTATTTATAATTATCAAAAACACAATTTTTTAAATATTTCAAAATTTAAAATTATTTATTTAATTTCAATTTTTAATTCTTTATTTAAGCACCAACAATTGTGTTGGTGTTAAAAACACCAAACTAATATTATTCTTATGCAAATAAACAGAAGAAACATCTTTCTCTTAACTCTTAATCGTAAAATTAAATGATAAACATCATTTAATTTTTTTTTCATTCCTACTCCTTTTTTCATCTAAAAAAATCAATCAATAAAAAGTAAATAAAATGCTCCCATTAAAAAGTAAGAAAAAACCAAACAAACGACCTAAAATTACAAAGTCGTTTGAAAGTTCGTCTAGTATTGACTCAACTCAAATTTCACAAGAACAAATTATTTGTATTTCAAAGTGTGTGGTTGAATTTTTGAAGCCTACTATCGAACAAATTGTTCGATCAATTATTCAAGAAATTATTCCAAATTTTAATAATACCACAACAACTACAAACAACAGCCAACCTTGGGGATCACACCCCTTTTCTAACAATAATTTCGAACCTCCACTACAACATTTTATTGATATTTCAAATTACAACACTTCACACCAAGAAACCATAATTAGTAAATCAAAAACTGCAGTGGTTGAAAAATTTCCAGAATCTGATGGAGACAACAATCTTTTACGTGAAATTGTGAATGAGTGTGGTCTGGGAGAAGAGTTGGATGAAAAAGAAATTCATCGACATGCTGGTAAACGTGAGGCAAATGTTTTAAAACCAAAAATTTATAAAATTCATTTTAAATCCTCACAATCACGTGACAAATTTTTAAAAACATTTCGTAAAGTTGTTAAATCCAATCCTCAAAAATATCCCCAACAATCATTTTGTCGTAGAGATATGTCTCCTCCTGAGCTCAAATTATTATATTCACTAAGAAAACAAGCTTATGAGTTAAATAAAAACCTTAATTTATATAAATTTATTGTCGTTGATTTAAAAATTATGGAATTGTCCAATCCAAGACCACTTCGTACAAGACAGGCATAGGTAAAATTAAGCAATCACAAACCTAACTCGACTCATAAACCTAATTTGACTTTAAATAATATTCCCTGTATTTTTTTAAATGCTAGATCTATTGTGAATAAAATCTCAGATCTAAGTTTCCTTGTTGAAAAAACCTCTCCTAAAATAATTTTTATAAATGAGACGTGGATTAACGCGGCAAAAAATATTGAAACAGAATTATCTATCAATAACAGATATGATGTTATTTTAGCCAACAGAAAAACGCGCGGGGGTGGGTGCGCCATTTTAATATCAAGAGAGATTCCTTTTAAAACCATTTTATCTTGTTCCAAATATCAGTGTGAACTTATTAATATCAACCTGTTTTTACCCAAAAAAATAAATATATTTCTGATATACCGTCCTCCAAATTGTTCATTAGAGAACACAAAAAAGATTTTAAAATTTTTGTATGAGAATATTGAGAATAATTTTATCTTATGTGGTGATATGAACATACCCAATATTAACTGGGCTGATTATTCATTTAATTGCCAAAAAGGAAAGCTATTGTTAGATTTTATGTTTCAGACAAATTCCACACAACACGTTACAGAATTTACTAGACTTAAATCCACATTAGATTTAATATTCTCGTCCCCATCCAATTTATTGAGCAATGTTGAAATTACTGAAAACTTTTCAAATTCTGACCATAATATGATAACTTTTAATATAAATTCCTCAATACCATTTAATAGGCATAAGAAAAAGGTTTACAAAAGGCAATTAACTGAAAATAATTTCTCAATTTTAAATGAGAAATATGCAAATTACAAATGGACAGATGAACTCTCTTTTTACTTTACCGTTAATTCTAAATACAATGCTTTCACTGATACTATTCTATACTTTTTCGATTCTGCAATGCCTTTAAAACCTTTAAATAATATCATAAAAGAAAATTATCCAAAAAGAATAACTGACTTATCAAGAAACAAGCTTAAATTATTCAATGAATCAAAAAAGGACCCGGATAACAATGAAATCCAACTTAAGTATAAGATAATATCAAGACAGTTAAGAAAAATAACTAGAGATTATTACACAGAAAAGGATAAGAAAATTGTGTCTAAAGGCAGATCCTCAGTCTATAAGTATTTTAAGAATAAACTAAAGCCTGTAATACAAGTACCAACACTTTTCGACAATAATGGAGAAATATGTCTATCAGATAAAGCTAAAAGTAATGCTATGGGTATAACCTTTCAGAAAGCCTTTAATAAGAAAAATTCAGAACTAGTTATAGGATCCAATTTTACTAAATCTGATGATAAAATTGAAGATATTCAATTTAATATATTAGATATTTTCAAACTTCTTAGGAAACTCCCCAATAAAAACTGTACCTCACCAGACTCCGTACCTTATATATTATTAAAAAAATGTGCTTTCACACTATCTCATATCGTAACTGAATTATTTAGATTAATTCTTGACGAAGGTGAAATACCTGAAATCTGGAAACATTCTATAGTTATTCCGATATTTAAGAAAGGTGATAAAACTATAACTGACAATTATAGACCCATCGCACTTACATGCACTCTCTGTAGAACTTTCGAAAGATTACTAGCAAATAAACTTATTGAGTTTCTTAATAACAAAAACTTTTTCAATATTGAACAATTTGGCTTCCTTAAACAGCGTTCAACTGTAACGCAACTCCTTACCATGTTAAACCAAATTTATTCTTGCGTAGATAGAGGCAATAAAGTTGATATAGTATATATTGACTTTAAAAAAGCCTTTGACACTGTCCCGATTGAACTATTGATACAAAAAGTTAAATATATTGGAATTAATGGAAAAATACTCAAATTTTTAACTAATTTTTTGAACAATAGACAGTTCAAAGTCCGAATTGAGCAAGACTTTTCTGAAGAATATCCCATTCATTCTGGTGTTCCTCAAGGTAGTGTACTTGGCCCTTTGTTATTTGTAATATTTATTAACGATTTACCTGAACATCTGCCTAAGGGTGTTAATGTTAAAATATATGCTGATGATATTAAACTGTATGTAGAACATAACAATGATAACAATAGAAATAAGCTTATAGAATCTCTTTTAATTATTGAAAAATGGGCTAAGAATAATGGATTAAGTATTTCTATAGATAAATGCCTCTGCCTCTACATAGGTAAGAATAATGATAAGCAACAATATTTTATAGATGGACAACCAATCAAGAAAGAGAATTGTGTTCGCGATCTTGGAATATTAATAGACAC